ATCAGCAGAGGGCTTGCGTGGGGGAGCTATTATGCTAGAAGGAAAAATAGTGGATATGCAGACCATGTGTTAGGGGAACTTACAATGCTCTGTTTAGAGGACTTAATGTGGACCGCAAAGATTGGGATAACTAAGCCTCAAATGTTCATAAAATTATTAAATTTGTTAACACTGTTAAATACAACTTAAAATAAACATTGAATAAGTCATAGTCTTTCAACTGCAATCAGCACAATATGTATGAGATGGAGAACTTTTTAGGCAAAATGTCCTAGTAACTCATCCTTATCTTTGCAGGAATGGCATTCTAACTGAGAAGTGGTTTACATGCCAAGAACTTTTTTTCAGTTGTAAAAGGAAAAAGAAAATCATTTATTTGTGTTCTTGTCCAAAATAACAGAACATGATGGAGAGAAACAAAAGAGCAAAAAAATCTAAGCCAGTTTTTCTCTTCTTAAATATCATCTTATCTGGGTGTTGGTCAGCTGGACATGACTTTGCAGGACTGAGTTTATTTACATATACAGAAGTTGCTTAAACAGCAAAAATAAATTTCAGTGGTTTATAACTTCATATTCCAGACACAGAAGTGTGCTGCTTGCTGTGATTTGCAAAACTGCCAGTATATTTTGAATGCTAGCTCAAATTAGATAATAGTTATGAAATACGTGCTCATGAGCATGCAACATTTTAAAAGATACTGTTACAGTCAACATTTCATGTCAGTAGTAGGCTTTAACAATGTTTGACATATCAAATATAACAGTTTTCTGAATTATTAAAATTGTGTATGGATATCAAAGAAAAAACTTTACTATTGAAATATTTCTAGATCTGAATCTTTCTGAAATTTTCTATAAATGAGTCGATTATATTCATGTATACTTTCACATATTCTTAAGCAAGTTTCTTTTTTGTAGTATTTTCATAGGTAATTTAAGGTGACAATTAAAAGAGAATAATAATTCAGAATGGTCTTTGCATCTCAGTATGTTTTATTTTTTAACCTTCCTGTGTCGTGTAACAGAAACCAAACAAACCACCTTTCAAAGTTGCATATAAAATGATGACAGTAGAATGAAAAGCCTGACTCTAGTTTTTCTAGGTTTCATGCAAACACACTGAAATACAGCCCAGATCGTCTCTAAAGCAACCAATATTTAGCACATTCTGTTACATATGCTGCTTAAATTAAGCAGTTGCAAATAATAAGTGCTGAAGTTTTTACTGTAAATTTCTGTAAAATCATTAAATATACTTTTCCGTTACAGCATACTAGAAATCTCTATTGGCATAAGGACATTATTTATACAAAGCAAACCATCAAACACCATTTAATACATGTACTCTAATTTTACATGTATCTGTGACCAGTTTCAACACAGACTTAATTTAAAATTAATTTAGCCCTTGCATAAGTTTTTTCCAATTTCTCGAATATTTTCAGGTTTCAGGCATGTGTGAAACAGGTTCAAGGTGTGGCATAGACATACTCTTTAAAAGAGCTCATGGTTTTCGTGAGATAAATATGACACGATAGTAAAAAAATAACTTGAACAACTGTGTTTGGAAAAGAGGTGGTGATCATAAAATGTAGACAAAGTGACTGGATCTACTGAAGTAGCAAAATTTCCATGGCCACAGCAAGTTTAGGATTTTACTCAAGCTTATACAAAATATATCCAAGTTGCTGTTCTCTAGCCGTTGTCAGACATGGCCATTGTCTGGCCATTCTAGGAACAGAATGTTTTGAGGAATAATTTAAAAGAGAAGATTGAGGGGATATGAAATACGATAGGGTCTTTTTTCCTGTACATAGGCTCTACATGAAAAGCATAAAATACTTGAGAAAGAAGCAAAAAATTGGTGACTGTCAGTCCTTATCATCAGACTAAAGTCAGCTCTGTGACAAACTAATAGATACAGTGGAGATGAGAATGTCTTAGAGGAAAGAAAATGGAATTTATATAGAAAATGCAAATTTCATACAAGGGGCCATACACAGACATACACAAATGGAATTTGTATATATGTATATTTGTATATATATTTGTATATACTCTATTGAAGTAATGAGCCAGAAAGACATGGCAGTATTTTGTCTAGAAAGTGGTGATACTAGCCAGGTCCAGTGGGGAATAGATAATAAAGATCTGATCATGTTTTGGGACTCTGAATAGAATAATTCTTAGAAACATTATCCAAATGGAAGCAATAATAATCAGCTATACCAAGCCTGGTTTGGCCAAATGAAGGATCAAGGCTGAAATTATTTTAGGATAGCATGAATGAGTGAGAGTACTATCCATGTGACAGAAAAAACTATGTGATAGTGATTATTTAAAGCTCAGTTTTAACATTTTGCTTGTATGAGAATATCAGAAAATGGTATGAGAACCATGGTTAGGTAAAATGAGTTAAGAATTTAATACAGAAGGCTACATAATGGCTCCTCAGCATAAAACTGATGTTTAAAACTGTTTAAAAATAGATTTAAGACAGTGGATAAGAAAGATGTCAAAAACAGAGGGCTACAGAATTTGCTTTGGAGAAGATGTGGGGTAAAACTGAGGGAAGAAAATAGGATTTCAGTTAGGCAGCAGAGTTGAAATATAAGAAGGGAGGATGCTGAGTGTGAAAGAATTTTTAGAGTCAGGGAGTAGTTTCTGGCTTCAAAATCTGTCAGAGCTCAAGGAGAATGAAAGCAAGATTTGGCCAGGAGTAGGTCATTTGAAGCATTGTTTGATATAAGAGCAAATTAAATACTGAAAGTCTGTGAGGTTTAAAGTAACCCAATTATGACTAGAGGACAAAACTCATAACTGACATAACATTTTTTTAACTTTTGTACTTTACAACTGAGACATAATTTATTTTATAGTGGGTAACAACCATGCCCATGGGGCTCTTCTTATGAAGAATGTGTAAGCCTAACATTTCTAAAAAGCTATGACAAATGTTATTTTACTTGAAAAAGCATATTCCTCTAAAGGAAACTTTATTTAGAGGAAAAGTTACTTGAAGTGAGTTGCTTCATTTATAAGAGTGGAGAGAAAAGATTAATATTTCTTCAAAGATGTGACAAATTAAAATTTAGGTCTTATTGTGTTTGAGAAAGTAAAATTTTAAAAAGATATCAAGTTGAGAGTTCCTGGTTATCTGTATCCTTTTAGAGGTACTCTTCGGTAAGAATAGAAGTCCAGGCCTCTTAATCTATTTGAACTGCTCCTTATTATCATTGAGAATTATCTGAAGCAGTACATCAGTAATGGACTTGCAGACATGTCAGTCACAGAAAGGAAATGAACAGGTAGTACTTCCCATTGCAGTTGTACATTGACAATTGTTTTACTAGGAAATGTGGTGTTGTAAGGTTGATGAACACCCTTTGCTTAAAAAAAAAAAAAAAAAACAACCAAAAAAACAGTAAGTGAAGAAAGAGAGAGACTTGGTGCCTTTCTTCTTTTTTTAATTAAATATTCATTCTTCTCCGTTTAACACAGAGGCAAACATCTAGAAGGAAGTTAGATAGATTGGATTCAATGCTTAAAAATAGAGATAGCGTTGCTAATCAACTACTGAAGGAGATCATCAGGAGAAGAGAATAGCTTGATTTGCTATATTAGAAGGCTATCATTAGAGTATCTGAAAGGAGAACACTAGCTCAGTATCAAGTAAAACTTTGCTAGTTTCAGAACTGCCATCCTACATATGAATATGCCTCTGTGGGAACCTATATAATATGCTGAGCTATGACATATTTTCAGGAATTGGATGACACAGAAAGTATCTGTTTTACTCATAGAAAGGCAAAGAGGAAAGATGCACATTGTCCATGTCCAGTGTGGCACTGCACTGTCAATACTGAAATGCTTGCGTCCAATTTACGCAGTTTAGACATCCACAACAACATGAAGTTTCTGGCTATTGTCATCTCTCGTGGTATTTAACAGTCAGTATAGCTGTCAGTTTCTTTGAGATTTATTCTGCAACATGTTTTTCTTATGCCTGGTACATTGTCTAATAAGGGAAATGCAAACAGATAAAAATGAAATAAAGAGTTCAGCTAGAACTAATAAATTATCCCTAAACTGGGGAGAAATTTAGAATCAGTGAACATGAGAACACACTGTATCTGCCCTTTCAGATGTCTGGGTATTCAGGAGAAGTCAGTCTTACATAAGTTTTAAGTAGTATACATAGCTGATATACTATATATATATTTATATACTCTTTTTGATCACTTTACTTTTTCCCCCCTCTGGGGAGGAAAGGGTGAGAGGTCAGAGGTGGAGCTTTTTTGAACAATGTTAGCTACTCATTAGTTATAGACTGGGATGTGGTGTTGGGACATTGTTCATCTCTTATGAAATCTAATTATGGTAAGATGTGAGGCCAAATATGAAAATATTTTGAAATCCACATTTATATAAAAAAGAAATTTTAATTCTATCTGCATTCAGTTCAACTGATACAAGCAAGACAGGGAAGAGGAAAAAAAATACCATGTTATAGATTTTAGGCTGGTACCATAAGGTTTATCGAGTACACCTTTAATCACCCAAAATCTAGGTTTCTAGTGTAAAATAGACAGACAGCCAAGTCCACAGGAGGATAGATAGACAGCTATGAGGAGCAGTTTTCTCTGTCTCAAAATAGATGTCTGAATCGTGGAAATAGACTACCCTAGCAAGTACCTATCAGAGTTGTCTGCAATGGGAGCCTAGCTGACCAGTTTAAACCAGCAACCAAACCTTCCAACAGCTCAGGGCTAGTGAGAAAACTCCTTACTTAGTGTGCCTTGTTTAGCTCTCAGTGAATAATTCATGTCAAGTAATGTACTCTCAATTTAACCTTCATTTGTGCTCTCCAGTATGTTGCCACATTTTTAAACACATAGCTTTCTTCTTTTAATTACAGTTTTGAGTTTGACAATTTTGTGTTAAAAATTAAGAAAATTTCATACTTCTGAGTGTCCATATAAATTGCTTGTTTTTTTCTTTCTTCTCCCTGTACCAGCTAGATTAAATCTTTGGAGTTTTCCATACCTTGAAAACAAGTAGGACATAAGCAAGGTTAGAGAATTTTTTACAAATTCAAATGGATTTTTTGAAATACAAATGCCCTAGCAGTGCAGTTCCTCTTCAAGAAAGGTTTGGTAGCATAATGAATACTTTAGATTTAATTTTACTTCCTTATATTTTTCTGAAGGACTTAAAAGTATGGATGATGGTATTCTACCAAACAAGAGTCATATCCCTGTCGATTCATTCAGGTCGTGGTCCAATACCTGTGGATGCCACGTTTCCAGTGAAGAACATGGGGAAATCCACTCTCCTGTTTTGTAGAGAGAGCTGTGCTATTATACTGATGCTCAGATTTCTTTTCAGGAAGACTTTCTGATAGTAAAAGTTGATTGCTTCACTGCCTGCAGAAAGATAAAAAAAGCATTACTGAAACATATTAATTTTAGGATGTTTAAATATATAAGATTAGCTAACATACTTACAATTTAAATGGATGTGTAAATTTTCAGGTTGAATATATAAGTTTTGTCTTCTTCAAATGGTGGTAGATTTTCTGTTCTTGAAATATATACGTACTCTTCTTGAAATGGTGGTATTCTTAAATTGTCATCCAGACATCTCTCCTTAATCTCCCACTTCAGCGTTTGAGTGGTATTTGGTAGAACTATCCCATTTTTCTGAACAAGATGATGATGAAAGGGGTTATATCATACAAAATATCATTGTTCTCAATGTAGTAAGCCTGACAATTAGCAGTAACTTTGTCCAGGACCAGACCTATTTATTAAATTTCTGTGAAAGGAATACATTTCTCTTTTGCCTTTACTAGTAGCCACTGCTTCATTAACAAAAGAAAAAAAAATTTAGATTTTACCTTTTTTTTAGCCAAAAAGACAGACATATTGAACTTGGAAAACATAGCTACTGCTTAACTCTATACTGACTTAAGTATGATTTACCACTGTTTATTTTTTAAATAACTATTTAGCTAAGAAATTTTAGACCAAGTTTGTGGGGAGCAAATAGTCAAATACCGGAAGGGCTGATGGAAACATCAATAGATCTTCCCTTCAACAGTATAATTAGTGCTGTAATTATTGCATTATGTCCATCTAAAGCTGACAAAAAGACTAGGTTTTTATAATACAGACCATATTTTTATAGTTTTAATACATATATATTTATATAAATATATATATATATATATATAAAAACACGCAGATGGTTGAGTATCTGGAAGGACTTTTTATGTCTGATTCAAAAAAAAAAGAAAGAGAAAAACAGCCCAACACACTGAGCAGCCTTAGCTCAGCTCAAGTCCAAAGTCTTCCAGTGGGCTAGTATTTAACTTCAGGATATTCACTGTTATCCAATATTAGTCCAACATTAACAGGTATCCTTTATTCCAACCTTAATGCTGGACGTAACAATAGACCACAGCCATAGCTGGTAGCCTGAGCTCACACTGTTTTCCTTGAACCTAATGTTTTTCAGAAAAATATATTCTCCTACTCCTAAAAATTTTCTCTTTTAAATCTCTAGCAGTGAAGATTTACACAGGTACTAGATCTATTGTGATAAGATTTATTTCTGCAACCAAGTCTATATAGACCAGCAGTGGTCAGTTAATACTGAATTTGGTAATCTCTAATTGCCTAACTGACCAAATCAAATGAAAATTGGGCCCAAATAAAGACAGAGGGACACGTTTTAAGCTCAGTATATATCAAGAACCTGGCTTTGCTCTGTGAGAGTGAGGGATAGTAAGGCCTCTCCCAAAGACACGCCTCATTCACTGCTCATGGTACAGCTCAGGCGGCAGCACCTGGCAGTTTCAAAGGGTGCTGAGATGGAGTATCCTCTGGCAAGGCATCATGGCAGAATAGGGTATCCTCACATCAGACCCTCTTTGCCGTGCTACCTATAAGGAGTTCTGCACTCTTGAGTCTGGGTAAAGCCTTAGTAGAGCATGTAGTAACTTTATTTACACTGTAATCACTGAGCAAATAAACCATACTTATTTGTAAGTCAAGTAGCTTATGCCAGGCAGCTAAATGTAAATGAATATAGAAAGGAAACACTAATGACACATATTGTATTTCTTCAGTGCCCCTTGGTTTGCCTTTTTCTATTCTTCAGAATTCTAAACTATAATTATTATTACATTTTTCAGCTATTTTACTTACGTAGTTATGTATACCTTTTCCTCCTTGATAAAGTTGCTCCAGTCAAAAGAGAATACGCTGTTACCTAGAGATGAATGCTAGAGTTTAATTCCCTGGCATTCCGTCAACACCCTACAAAGTAATATTTTTTAAAACATTTGCTATGGTGACCAGTGGCAAAATCTTCTGGTGGGTCAAAAATTTCCTTCTCTGATTCTCTGGCTTAGTGATTGTTATTGAAAGATGTCTATTCTGAACCTACATCTACATTACTAGTTCTCAAACCAACCCATGCAGGTAATATAAGAACATTTTGTTAATCATTCTGTCCTTCAGTCTTGTTCATCAGTACAGGATGTAAGAGGATAAACTAGTGCTGTGGATGAGCTAGGATGAACTGTGCAACTAACAGTTTAGCAAAACTAATTGGTATGGTGCTTAGCTTGTGAGACAATATTTCCTGTTGTGAAGTATGGACTTCTAGAAATTAAAAGGCCTGGGTTTGGATCTCAGTGCATATTCTTTGTATATTGAAAACTATTTCATATAGACATGTAAACTGGCAAGCATATATGAAGAAAATAAAGATACAAAGTGTGTAGAAGACCACATGCAATAGTAGCTTAAGCAGTGCTGGGGACAGTCCTGAGTGAATGAGCCCAGCTCCAGGATTTCAGAGATACTTTAATAATCCTATCTGAAATAAATTTATGATGAAACTAAGATTGCACATAAGAAGCAGCAGCTTGTTGTATACCTTTCATTTGTTAATGTGCATTCCAAACAACATACTTTAAGAGTCCAGTCACTCTTTACGTGTTAAGGCTTCATATTAGGCTTCCAGGATTCTGTTTCTCTTGATACATTGCCAGTGTCCATACATGTCCTAAAGCAATGCATATTTGCCAGAAATTCCTGAATTTTTCACCCCAGTAAACAAAACAAATGGTATCAGCTGTTGCAGGTTTAACTTACAATGTTAAACTCAAGTCTTACCAGACTACAGGGGCTTTTCACATTGTCTTTAAAAGGAAGATTGTGAATCTCTTTCTTCAGCTTGTATACAAGAGCAGTAATAACCTGGCACTACTGTGTGTTTTGAGCCCTTTCATGTCCAACTGCTTTTCAAGCAGGATAATGTGTGTTATCTGTTTTACAAACAAGAAAGCCAAAACTCAGAATGCTTAAGCAAATTTTCCATACTCTCAAGACAAGATTTTCCCAAGCATGGAACAGTAGAGTCAGTCCTGCACTTTGTTCCCTAAGCCATGCTTTTTCCAATTAATTTTAATTTTCAATTTTGTCCAATGTAACACTGGTTTAATTTCATTAGTTACTAATTTGAAGATGATCAACTAAGATGCAGGCATCCTTAAAGTGGGTTGAATCCTGCACACATTTTACTATTGGTGTTTTAAATACTTCTATCTCTTTTCTCTCTGAGGCAGCTTAACTATACAGCCAAAACCCTGAGTGATGGATGCATACAGATAAAAAAAAATTGTTGCTTTTCATGCTGCTTTTATTATTAGTGTATTTACCAGCAATGATTGGCTCCATCTTTTAGTATTTTTGTTAACTTTAAATCTTTTTTTCTTTATTTTCGAAATGAAGTCAACACTTGCCTTAACTGTGATGGCATACTAATAGATGCTCAGTTTGAGAGCCTTTATTCCTGCCACCCGTGAAAAAGCGTTACAAAAAGGAAAATAAATACGATTTTTTTGAAGTTACAGAATTACATGTACAAATCAGATGCTACAAATGCCTGTTGCACATCTCAAATAAATGCTTATATGTATATATTGTTTATTATACATGCATCTGTAAAGCCATGCACATCTTTTTATAAACATGCAGTGTACAATAATGACTATGCTTGTATTTTTCTTTTTTATAATATTTTAAATATTTATCTGTACGTGAAGTGCAACTTGGCATTTTGGATTTAATAACATAAAATACAGTAGTTCTTACTTATAAAATACTGTTCTGGGAAAAAAGAATGCTTCCAATTAACATAAAGACATTTCCACCTTCTGATATGTAAGTCTTAGCTCTTATAATGAATTTGGATCTGATATTGTGATTTCTTATGTCTTTGAGAAGTTTCATTTACTTCTCTTGCTGATGGCTTCTTACTGGCTATTTTAACAACTAATTAATTGATACCACAATTTTCCATTGCTATCAGAGTGGAATGGCCATGTCTCTCTTTATTCTCTTAATTTCTCTTATTTTCTCTCTCTCTTAATTCCTGAATTATGAGAAACTGTGAGTTTTTATTATTTGACCTCATACCAAGACCTGGGGCCTAACGTAAATGCTGTGTCATCTTCTGTGAGCACAGTGGACTGGTATGCTTTTATCTTTATTTAAATCTCAGATAAAACTGCTGTTGATATTAATAGTAGCACAACAGGTTTATGTATTAATTAGAAGCTATTGCTAACTGCCAAAGCTGATCTAATAGGTTCTGTAGAAACTTCTCCAGAGAAGATTTGTCTTTCTTACACTATGGAGTCCCTGGCTTCCCTGCATAAATCTTTTCCCACTGATGGAGCTGAGAAGTCACAGGCAATTGGATTTTGCTTTGTACATGGCTTGCGGTACACTAATCTAGATGAAAAATTAAGGGGTTTTTTGATTGGCTATTGTTACTCTTTTTTATGCCTCATTTTCTAAACCCTTTTTTTTTTTTTTTTTTTTCTTTTTAGCTTCACCAAAGTCAATTTCTGAATTTCACATAAAACTCACATACCCTGGAGGACTGTGAGCTCTTCCTCCTACTGGTAGTTTCCTTTTTGCAGGAAGCATACACTTCCAAGGTTGCTACCTGAGGACAGGATCTGATTTGACTGCTTGGAATATGGATGCAACACCATTGGCTTCTTGTTGCTAATTAATATATATTCCATAATAGCACCTGGTCTGAAGTTGACAGGCACTTGGGGTTTATTTCTAAGGACCTGATAGAGGAGACCAAAAAAAGAAATCATGTTATCAATAGGTGTTAGTATTTACTTCTACTGGAGATCTGCATCTCCATCAGACTTTTTTCCTGCATCTACATTGAAAAAAATTACCTTAATTATGTAAGTACCTGTAATTACAGTGTATTAATATTGTCTAGTAATATTTAGCATATTACTATTCTATAAATAGCATATAAATATACTGTAGTATATTTATACCATAGTACATATTTATATTTACTATCTATATATAGTACAGTATATTTATATATATTTATATAGTTATATTTCTATTAACTACAAGTAGGAGACAGCACATTGACTGATATGCTTTTGAGAATAAACCATCCTGACATATCTACTGTGTGACACAGCAGAATTAGTCCTTGAATATTCCATTCCAGTATGGTATTGTGAAACCAGTTAGTCAAAAGCTTTGGTTTTTTTCATTTTGTTTTCCTTCATTGATATGGGAATAATGATGATATTTATCAATAATAAATAATCAGGCAAGCTTAAAAAAAAATGTTTAAAATGGCCAGCTATTCTGTAATAGCCTATCACCTTTATTTCACATGATTTTTCGTTTTCTTCATGACCTGTTCATCTGTTTAAAGAACAAAAAAGTTTCACAACATGATGCCTGATTTATGTCTACTTCTATAGACTTGTGACCTGCACAGTGACAGAGCCAACTGTTACTAAAGGTCCCATGACTGTATGACCCTTTGAGCTAAATTTACCACAGATGCTTTTTCCACTCTTTGAGGTTAACTTTTATGATTCCACAGGACTCTTACAAAATGTCTTGGGTTAACTACTAGGTGATATTGAAAGATTGAAACCAGAAAACATAAAACAGAATGCTTCGCAAGAAATCTTATTAACATTCCTTCTGCTGTTGTGGAGCACTTTATATGCAGATCACTGGCACAAGCCTCCAGGGCAGTTAGGATCTTTCCTGTTGATACACAATGTAGTTAGTAATGCATTTTATTGTACTGGTATAAAATAAAGTGCAAAGGTTCTAGAGAGTTTTACACACTTTACGCACATTCCTATATGATGAATTCTTTTATATTTTGACACACAGCCTGCTTATCACGTTTTCCTTCTATTTGCCAAGTCTATATATATTTTATACAGTTTTTAGTGCTTGCTTTCATTATTCACCTAGCTGCACTACCACCAACAGTAATATACTGCAGCACTTGTAAAGACTATACAGAGGAATGGCTATTATGCATGTAACCACTTGTTGAGCAATAACTTTGCTCTTTCAATTTAAAAACAATTCTAACACAGTTCAGAGCAAATTCAAAATTTATAATCTAAATAGTATATTCACTGTCCAGTTCTCTGCATTTTTTTTCATCTTCTAATGCTGAAATTGCCAAATGTGCTTACACTGGTATTTCCTAAAAGGAATTAACTCTCAAAGCTTTTACGGTAAGTTTTTGTCTAGAAGTTATAAACACAAGTTTGTTTGTAATACATAAATTATTAATGTATTCATTGCAACAGGGAAAGCTCTCCTTCTGCAGTCCAGCAGAGAGGACGTCACATTAGAGTTCTTTAACTGAGGTATTTTGTCCTTCAGTGATTAATAACAATAGCTGTCTGTATGTAAGTTTGACTTTAACAGTCAACAAGGAATTTTATTTTTACTTAACTTCATCACAGTGTTTTGAATGTCTTTCAGACAGGGAATACTTTCTATTTTGTGAAGTTAGACAATAGTACTAATTCACAGTATCTAGGCAAGGGTTAGAAGGAAAAAAAAAGGGAAGAATTACATTTCTAGGTAAGGCTTTTAGTTAAGTTGGAATGAAAAATATATTCCTTTCTTTACTCCACAGAGACTAATTTATCTAGCACATCTCTAAGTGGAAAATTCCCTGCAAATTCACTGATGTTACTGTAACTTACATTCATCTTTTCCTTTCATTTGTTATCCATCGGTATTGTTCCTTTTTTTTCTTTTTTTTTTTTTTTTCAAATGTGATTGACCTTTAAACCTGTTGTTATCAAACTGCAAGAAAGATACAGAGACTCTTTTCAGCTGCCTTCGTTCCCATGTGACCTGCAGGGAGAATAGATTCAAAATAGACTAGTTCCTCCCAGGGCGATACAAGACAGAAGAGAAAAGCACTGTCATTTCCGAACAGCACAGTGCTAGAGTAAATTCAGCGT